AAAATTATCTGTATGTCTGGTTAAAAATACAGCCTGGGCTCACTCCCCAGAGTCCTGATCAGTCCATGAAGGGTGAGTCCTGCTTCCAAACTTTTAATAAGCTCCCAGGGCCTCTCTGAACAGCCAAACTTGGGACTTACTTTCCTAAAGGATCAGAGGCAGAAGATTGAGCTTAGCCCCCTCTGCACGCACACACGCGCGCGCGCGCACACACACACACACACACACACACGCACGCACACCCCACCACCACGCAGGTGTGACTAACCAGGTCTCCACCTTCACCCTGGGCAGGTTCATCAATGCCCGGAGGCGCATCCTGCAGCCCATGCTTGATGCCAGCAACCCAGACCCTGCCCCTAAAGCCAAGAAGATCAAGTCCCAGCACCGGCCCACCCAAAGATTCTGGCCCAACTCCATCGCCGCGGGGGTGCTGCAGCAGCAGGGCGGCGCCCCGGGGACAAACCCCGACGGTAAGGCCTGGGGCTGGACTGGCGGGCGGGACAGCTGCGCAAAGATCCACGGGCTGAACATCTGCTCGGCCACAGTCATCCCCCCTGACCCCTATCGAAGGGGGTGGACAAACCGGGGAGGAGGAGGGCTTTGCATTGTTTTAACAGCCAGGAGCAGAGGCCAGGGGAGCCCGTGGTCATCAGAGCCCATGACTGCCCCACGGAGCCGCTCCTCACTCCCACTCCCGCCGAAGTTGCTTAGGGCCAGCGCCGTCTGGAGAGGCAGCGGCTTGTGCACGGAGGCGAGAGGGGCTTTGTTTCCCAGCTTCTCCATCACACTCTTCACAGACACTGTTTTAACTGCCGGTCGCCTGGTGCATAATGAATAATTCAATGAGCCAGACATTTATAGCTCAGCACAGGGTAGTTCTGTAGGGGAGGGGGAGTGAAGGTATTCATGTGTGCATCCCTACCTTCACGTGTGCATACCTACGTGCGTGTGTGCACGTCTCTATCTGCACGTGTGCATTGCTTCCTGCATATGTGCATCCCTACTTGCATGTCTGCGTCCCTACCTGCACATGTGCGTCCTTTCCTGCACATGTGCATCCCTACCTACACGTCTGCATCCCTACCTGTATGTCTGCATCCCTTCCTATGTCTGCGTCATGTGCGTCCTTTCCTGCACATGTGCATCCCTACCTACACGTCTGCATCCCTACCTGTATGTCTGCATCCCTTCCTGCATGTCTGCGTCCCTACCTGTATATCTGCGTCCCTTCCTGCATATCTGTGTCCCTTCCTGCATGTGTGTTTCCCTACCTGCATGTGTGCGTCCCTACCTGCACATGTGCATCCCTACCTACACGTCTGCATCCCTACCTGTATGTCTGCGTCCCTTCCTGCATGTGTGCGTCCCTTCCTGCATGTCTGCGTCCCTACCTGTATATCTGCGTCCCTTCCTGCATGTGTGTGCACTTATGTGGCTGCATGGTGGGTCCTGTGTGACAACGGGCAGTTGTCTCATGAGGGATGCAGGAAAAGCAGATTGTGAGCTGGGTCTGTCAGCTCCCAGGGGGAGAATGCCAGCTCTCTGGCCTGACTGTGTCCCCCCAGCTAATGCCTCCACTGTCTGAGACTCAGTTTCCTCCTCTTTAGAAGGGTAATACCTGCCCTGCAAGGTGTTAGCAAGTCACAAGTATTAACGTGTTTACACAGAAGCGGCTCAGTAAAGGCAGCTGGGGTGCTGCTGCCTGGGAGGGGCAGGCAGGGGCTGACACAGGGGCTTCGTGCCTGCAATTGCCAGCTCACCACCCCTGAGCCGGCCCACTGAACTCTCCAGTACTGAGGTCCCTGGCCTGACCCGCCCTCCTCTCGCAGGCTCCATCAGCTTGGACAACCTGCAGTCCCTGTCCTCAGACAATGCCACCATGGCCATGCAGCAGGCCATGATGGCCGCACACGACGACTCATTGGATGGGACGGAAGAAGAGGAGGAGGATGAGATGGAAGAGGAGGAGGAAGAGGAACTGGAGGAGGAGGCTGACGAGCTTCAAACGACGAACGTCAGTGACCTGGGCTTGGAACACAGTGACTCCCTGGAGTAGTTGGCAGCCCAGATGGCACTGATCACCCAGCAGGAGAGGAGTGTCATCGGGGGGTTTCCGGGTGGGGGGGAAGGGGACACGGGCAGGCGGCACCGAGGAAGTTGGGCCCTCGCTTCCCAGAATCAGTAGCTTGACAAAATGCAGAGGAGACACCTGCTCCTTCCCGACCACCGAGCTTCTCTGACCCCAGCGCTGCTTCCCCGGAACGCGGAGGACTCTGGGGCGCCGGCCACGCAGCCCTACGGACAGGCAGGAGTGAGACCTGGATCCATCGACCCCCGAGGACAGGTGGCACCCGAAGGCCCTGGCGGACAGAGTTGATGGTTTACAGCCCTGCACTGAGGCAGAGCAGCGCTGTCCGCAGAGGGAGGCTCTGCCGGGGACAGAGCAGGAGAAAAGGCAAACACGCTGGGGCTCCGCCCCAGCCCCTGAGAGACAGCCAAGGGGCAGGAGGAGTGGGAGGGGCTGCGGCATCACATCTTGCAGGTCAGAGTGAGACCTGCGTTCCCAGGGCTCCAGCGAGTTCTTCCCAGGCCCATCTCTGGGTTCAGGCAACATGGACTTGGGAGAGAGGGAAGGAGCCACCAGTACCTATCTCTCTCTCTCTCTCTCTCTCTCTCCCTCCCTCCCTGTGAAAAGAGTGGTAAGCTGGGCTCAAATTGCAGATTTAGAGGGGTCCCTTCACCTGGGTCTTCAGGACCCAGGGAGGTGGCAGAACCTGAGCTAGGAGGCGCGTCAAGGTGACTTGGGGAGTGACGGCTGTTCTAGGTGTTCACAGAACTCGGCTCCTGTAACGACAGGACAGTGGTGTCTCATCCCAGATGTGCCAGCTCCACCCCCCACAGACCTTCGGAGCGGGTGGAGCCAGGTTAGCTGGGACCTCTCCACCCTCCAGGCCCCCAGCTGACGTGCTGCGCCAGGCCGGCTTCATCAGCCTCCATCCTCTCCTTCATTTTATCCTTCAGAGAAACAGTGGAGAGAAGCATCCAGCCCAACGAGAAGCCAGGGGTTGGAGAAGGTGCTACATCCCTCCTCCCATCAGTTTCCAAAGTGCGGGGAGGGCACCCAAGAGCCAAGCGGTGCCTCCCCCATCCGCCTCACTAGCCTGCACCCCACCTGACACAGGGCACTGGGGGAACCGGGCTCCCGCAGGAGAAGCTCTCCATCTGCCCTGACACTCCCCCCCCTCAACTTCCAGTCCCGGTGATCGGCACCTCCTCCCGCCCCCTCCCACCCAATGGCTGTGAAGACAGGACCGACTACACGTGTGTTTCCCATTCGATTTAATTTAATGGACGCGCAGTTTCATCTGTCAGTTGTGCATTGGCCGTCTCCCTCAGTGGCAGGACGCGAGTGGCCACCTGGCTCAACTCGAGGGGGCCCCCTGGGGACTTCCCCTCCCCCACCTCGTTGGGTGGAGCAAAAGGATGGTCGCTTTCCTGAGGTCTCCCTAAAATGAATGTATTTCTCCCCCAAAAGAGCTGATATTTAATGTTTTACTAGGGATTTTTGAGAAGCAAATAACCTTATTTATAATCTTGGTAATTCGATCATTTTTTTACTCCCTTTTGATGCCACAGGTAAAGTCTAGCTTTTTTGGCAATGTGCAGTGGGATAAAGTACATTTCCTTTCCCGATTCGTTTATCTTGTTGACACATAAACACACAAACTCACACGCATGCACACACGCGCGCACACCCACTTTCCACTTGGGACAGGCGCCCAGCCCAGCACAGGCACACCGCACACACGTGCCCACACCCTCCTCCCAGCCCCTCCACCTGCCTCATGTTATGCAACCTCCTTCTGATGTATCCACCAAACCAGTACTGAATGTGGCTGAGAAGTTTCCAGTAAATCTCATTACCTACCGGGTTCTGCTGCGTGTCCTCTCTTTCTGTGGTCAGTGGGACTGGACCAGAGCGAAGGGGAGGCCCCGGCACACCCTCGGTTGACCTGACTGCCTCCGTGGAAGGTGACAGGCGGAGGGCTCTCTGGTGACCTCGGTCTCCCTCCTGGGGAGGGGGACAGCCAAGTGCCCACGCCCACGTGTCCCAGACAAAGAGATGAGGGCGAGCAGACGGGAAGCTCTGCAGGGCGCTCTCCTGACAGCTTCCCCACAGAGGGCAGAGCTGGGCCACCTCTTCCACCAAACTCCACCCCCTGCAAAAGGCCTTCGCTTCTCCCACCTCCATCCTGGGCTCGGAGGCTTCTCATCATTGAAGCTGGTGCCACCACTGCCTCCCCAGCCCTCACATGGCCACCCTCGCCCGATCCCAGAGAAGTCTTGACTGCCACATTCACCTTTATGTTGATTGATTGATTGATTTCAGAGAGGAAGGCAGAGAAAGAGAGAGAAACATCAATGATGAGAATCATTGATTGGCTGCCTCCTGCACGCCCCACACTGGGGATCAAGCCCACAACCCGGGCATGTGCCCTGACCGGGCATGGAACTGTGACCTCCTGGTTCATGGGTTGATGCTCAAACACGGAGCCACACCAGCCGGGCTTGACTGCCATAGTCAATCCCAAATCTGTGTCCACAGGGGAGCCTGCCCTTGAACCCCAGGGTTCAGCTCTATACTCCCTGGAGCAAGAAGAAATTCAGGGGCAGCTTATCACTCATCTCACAGGTGAGAGGCAGGCTTTCTGTGACCCTCAGCCTAGAGGTGTCCTTGTCGGGCGCCATTGCCGAGAAGTCTGGGGCATCGGTTTAGACACAGGAGGAAGAGTTCCTTGTTCATTTCCCCGAAGGCTGCACAGTGTGCGTGACCCGTGAGCTCGAGCCAGGCCGGAGATGGCGACGGGACAGCTTACAGGGCAAAACGGCCGCCAGCAGCTCCGGTGGCGGTTCCGGGGTCCCTGCTCTCACTGCGCCCAGCCCCGCCCCACCACCAGCCAGCACAGCTGGGGAGCCCTGCCAATAGCAGAGACCGGCCACCAGCCGGTGCAGGAAGTCTCAGGAGCCTAACAGAGATGATACCTTAGAACAGTGGTCGGCAAACTGCAGCTCGCGAGCCACATGCGGCTCTTTGGCCCCTTGAGCGTGGCTCTTCCACAAAATACCGACTTCTGCGCACGGACCACGAAGTTTTAATCGCACTGTACGTGCGCGCCCGCACGTGATATTTTGTGGAAGAGCCACACTCAAGAGGCCAAAGAGCCGCATGTGGCTCTCGAGCCGCAGTTTACCGGCCACTGCCTTAGAATCTCACTTCCCAGAGCCAGGAAGATGACAACTTTCAAAGATGTGTTTTCCAGAGAACACACTGCTCAGAGACAAGCTATCAACAAAAATTCCTTGGCCAAATTAGACTAGGATGAAGTGATACTATATTTTGCTAGCGGAGTTTCAAAAGGCACATTACGATAGTAAAGGCTCTGAAAAGTCCTGCAGGAAAGAAACCTGTTTAACCTGTTCCCCAAATTTATTTGCCTGTTTTCCCCAAGTAATAGCTATTCAGTGATCCGAGTGCTCCATCAAACACACTGTAGGGAACACTATTCTAAGAAAGTACAGCGCGGCCTGCCCCAGCCTCTCCCATCCTTCCAAAGACTGTCTCCCAAATCCCGCTGCCCGCTGACAAAGGAGCTCCCTCAGTCATTCCAGATGTGGGTGGTGATGTTTGGAGGAAGCAGCAACCTCTCTGTGTGACCTTCAGCCTACACTGAAGGTCAGGCTCTGTGTGACCCAAACCCCATCCAACCCAAGATGTGCCACGATCCTTGTGGAAGCAAGAGGGATGGGACCATGTTCATGGGGAGAAGTGGGAGGGGGATTTCCTTATCTCCCCCCGACCCCCCATAGAGCTCTGACAGCAGGGCCCTGGGAACTCTTCAGACTAATTTCCGGCCTGACACCCATCCCAGACCTTCCCGGTTTGGAGGCTCCCACTCCAGGGAGTTGATGGCCAGAGCTATGCTTCCTCTACTGCCTTGGAGATGGCAGGATGAGGGCCATGGCACTGTCACCTGGCAGCCTGCTTGGACCCATTCATCCAACCTGCATTCACTGAGCACTGACTCTGTCCCAGGCAGTTGAAGATACCAAGGGTACAGCCGTGACCAGCAAGGACAAGGCTCTTGCCTTGAGGGACTTTACATTCAAGTAGACAGTGTGCTCAGGAGGTCCCCGTAATGGTGACAATATGACCTGATTCTGGAAGTGGCCTCGAACTTCATTATCTATCCTGAGCTGCAAAGCAGGCGGCTCTCAGGTCAAAGTCAGCTCGCGGCACGTTGTGTTTGGACTATACATTGGTTTTTAGTTTTTTGTGCCAACATTTAAAAGTTAAAAAGTTGCATATAAAAATGCAGACTCCTGGTCTCTCTGGAGACATCAAGCCATGAAGCAGCTCGGGACCTACAGTCCCACACGGATGCGGTTGGGTGTGCTCAGATCACTGCTGCCCCTTACGACGTGGTCTCAGGTACCGTGATAGTGGCCCTGAGTGGTCTCAACACTGAGCCTGCGGGTCAGCCGCCACTGATGACCAGCTGTCCCTAAGTGCTTGGCTCATTGGTTGGTTATGCTTCTCTCCTCTCCCTTTGTGTGTGTGTGTGTGTTTCTCTCCAATGTTAGAGCGGTTGTTATTAATAAGGGAAATATTTATGTCTGCTCATTGCTCCATCAAGAGTAAGAAAATAACCCTGCTGGTGTGGCTCAATGGTTGAGCATCAACCTATGAAGCAGAAGTTCACGGTTCAATTCCTGGTCAGGGCACATGCCTGGCTTGATGCTCGTAGGGGGCATTAAGGAGGCAATCGTTGTTTCTGTCTATCTCTATCCCTCTTCCTTCCTCTCTCTAAAATCAATAAAAATGTATTTCAAAATTAAAGACACATTCAATCAATGATTCTCTCTCAGCGTTGATATTTCTCTCTCTCTCTCCCTCTCCCTTCATCTCTGAAATCAATAAAATATATATATATTTTTTAAAAAGAGTAAAACAAATAGTGCAGGAGGGCTCTGCCTTGGGGGGGAAACAGAGATGACGTATTTGTTTGTGGAAGTGAAGACACTCCTACCATCAGATGCAAAAGTCTCCCTGTGTCTTCCATTCAGACATCTTCACGCCTATGCTACCTGCCTGCCTGCCCTCTAGGGCATCCTGAGCCTGGGGCCTAAAGCAACCAGGGATGCTTGTTGTACATGCAGATTAGGCCCCACAACCGTCTTTTCCGGGTTCGAGGCAAGATGCCTGAAGACGCTGAAACACTGCTCTCAGAAACTAGGTTCCTGTTGCCTTTAGAAGCGCCTTGACTTCACTTGCTTTATCAACCACAGCCCGCGCGCCAGGTATCACTCGGTAAACATTCACAGGCGCCCGCTCTGCGCCAGGCATCGGCTGGGGGCTAACTCCACTTCACAGACTATCACAGGCCCGGGGACCCCCGAGGAGCCCCGAGGACCCCCGAGGACGGGCAGAGACGAAGCCGATCGCATCCCATTCTGTGCCTTTCCACTTTGGCATCTTAGTTCCACCCCACAGCCGCGGCCGGTTTATTATCCCACGTTCAAGTGTCGGTAGCTTCCACTTTTATATTTCTCAGCCTCTCTCCGGGCCGGGCTCATTTAGCCCCTTTGCAAATTAAATGCATCTCGTTAAGCGAGGCCCATTTAGGACAATGCCCTTCAGGTGTGTGCGTCTTCGCACATCTTTCATTTAAGACAAGTGCCTGATTTATTTTTCATTTCATCACACTCTTTAAAATTATATGCATCTCATTACACTCCGTGCGCTGAGACGACTTATTTCAGGTGTAGACATTGCACCCGGTGTGATCAGGCAAGAATATTTTTTTTTCATTTCATTACAAGCCT